AAACAGTACCACTGGGAACACTATCCTCGGTAAGCATCCAGTCATACCCTACCCTTTCGCACGCTAACTGGTCAGGTTAAATGGCTTCTTCAACGGCGTTCGCACGCTTGTTCCCTACGGCGACTGGGTGTCAGAGCAGGACTTTGTCAAGTACTCGCAAAGCCCTAACCCAGAAGACAACATCAAGCCCAAGTGGCCGCACATGTCCAAGGAGGACAAGGAGCCGCCGCTGGAGCTACAGCCATTCGACCCATACAAGTTTGACTCGCCCGAGTACCTGAAGGAGCACGACGAGGTCAAGACCTGCTACCTCGACGAGGAAGAGAAGATTGACCTCCCCGACATCTACGCTTACCCCGGCATCCCCCAGAACATGACTGCGCCCTTCTTTGGTTCATACGAGGAGATTGGCTTTGACGACAAGAAGTGTTTCGAGCGCTTCGGTCGTCTCGGCCCCTATGGCTACTCCTACTCCCGCGATGAGGGCGGCCTCGACATGGACGGCAAGTCTGAAAAGGGCGGTGCCGACAAGCTCTGGAGCTACGAGAAGAAGGTTGACTACCGCAAGGTCAACTGGGCGTCCGCCATGAAGCGATGCCGCGAGAAGAACGCCCACCGCTTCAAGAAGAACACCACCGAAGAGACTGCACCCGCCAAGAAGAAGGTGCCACGCCACGCCTACGTTCTCCGTACCTGGACCGGCTACAAGTACAGTGACTACCAGATCCTCACTCTGCGCGCCATGATCAACGAGCTCGCGCTGAAGTCCGGAGGCGAGTACGATGTGCACTTCCTCCTCCATGTCAAGGACGATAGCCTCCCTATCTGGTCCTCGGAAGAGATCTACCAAAAGGTCATCGAAGACAACCTCCCCAAAGAGTTCTGGGGCATGGCGACCCTCTGGTCCGAGCAGCAGATGCGCATGTACTACCCAGAGCCGTTCCCCAACAACGTCTACAACCACGCCAAGGCCCCCGTCCACTCTGTCTACCGCAGCGCCCACTTCGCAATGCAATGGTTCGCGCAAGCTCGCCCAGAGTACGACTTCTACTGGAACTGGGAGATGGATCTCCGTCTCAGCGGCCACTACTACGAGTTCCACAACAAGATTGGCGAGTGGGCCAAGAAGCAGCCTCGCAAAGGTCTGTGGGAGCGATCGTCTCGCTACTACATTCCTGAGCTCCACGGATCCTGGAAGAACTTCACCGAGATGGTTGAGGAGGAGCTCTACAACAGCGACGAGAAGCCTGTCTGGGGCCCACCCAAATTCGAAAACACCGGCATGCTTCCCAGCCCTCCCGAGACCGAGCCCCCACACTCGTACTCGCAAGACAACTATGAGTGGGGTGTTGGCGAGGATGCCGACATCATCACATTCAACCCAATCTTCGATCCGGCCAAGACCAACTGGGTTTTCCGTGACGACGTTACAGGCTACGATCTCGAGCTCCCGGAACCCCCGCGGAGATGCGCTATCATTACTGTTTCGCGTCTGTCCAAACGCCTATTGGATCTTATGCATCGTGAGACATACCTCATGAAGCACCACATGTTCCCTGAAATGTGGCCTCCAACAGTCGCTTTCCACCACGGTCTGAAGGCCGTGTATGCTGCACACCCCGTGTACTTTGATCACAACTGGCCACTCGAAGCCCTCGATGGCACCTTCAACAAGCCCCCTAAGCCGACTGACAGCGTTTTCGGCTGGGGTGAGCACAACCAGCTCGGCAACAGCTTTTACTACAATGCTGGCTTCTCATCCGAGTGGTGGCGAAGGTGGCTCGGCTCTCGCGAGAATGACAAGGGTGGCCCACAAGAAGAGGAAGCCGGCACCGGCCGGTTATGCATGCGCAATACGCTCTTCCACCCCGTCAAATACGAAAAAGGATCTGAGTGACTTTCCACGCTTCGCAAATATACCCCTTTAATTGCTGGCTTTCTGGGTTTCCTTGTTTGTCGCTCTGTTTGCCGGCGCCGCAGACGTGCTTGTCGATAGATTCTCCTTCCCTCATTTTCTGACTTTCGCATATTCAGCGCTCACTCTCCCATTGTGGCGTTTCAACATCGGGCGGCGTATGACGGCGTTTTTACTTATGAATGAACATACAGTTCTTAGCTTGTCTTTCCATTTCGTCTCTCCGGCATTGCGTACACGAGCACCGGATTGTCTTATTTTTCTCAATGTATACTTACTTCACACGAACAAAAGCGGTGGAAAGTGTAATTAGCCGTACTCAACGGCGTCCGTTCTTTCAGTGGGCTTGTTTGGATCTGAGCGATGGAACCCTATCAAATTGTTGGCAGGCTGGTCTGAGGTCGAGATTGTCTCTTCCTTGCCCAGCTTCACCAGGACGTTTGGAGGTGCCGCATGTGGATATGTGTAGATGACGGGAAAACTTGTGCTTGGGTACTTATTCCTATGGTGTAACCCAACCTAAAGCTGGTCACTTGTTGTGGTTGTAGAACTATGAAATGCAATACAGATAATCACATAGTATGGTCCTCATCTCGTGAACTGCACTTGTGGGTAGTTACTCACCATTTACCCCGCATATACCTTGATACCTGAACATGTTGATCGACCGTGATGACGACGTAGTTGACTATAAGCTTCATGCCCTTATGCAGCTCTCAAGATCGTACATTAGCGTTACCATAACAGATCGATGGAGTCTGTCTCCTCTGGACCCGAGTCTCTTGGCGGACCGAAGCGCACTTTCGCCAGCTAATAGCGCGTCGGATCATGCCTGCACATCATTGAGTGGTACAGCGGGGATGATCGACTTGGTTAATAGCGCTTGATAACACAATCAAGTTTTTGTACGAGGATCCTGTGCTATTCTACGGCCAGCGCCGGAAAGCTATGTTTCAATCACTGTCTCGTACGCCATATCTAGCGAGGGGTGTGGTTACGATGCGGCATCGCACGTGCGGTCCCGCCCTAGAGGACGCGTACTCTAGCCTGCCAGACTTCGTTTTCACGTGGCTGGCCCGCACTTGCACTCCCTTAGCTTCAAAGAAGGACAATACTACTCGACACAGGATGCAACGTGAGTAGCTGCCCTTAACAACAACGAGACTGCGAACGCGCAATCGGCATGAACGAGCTCCACATTCACGACATCTTGGAATGACACGCTAGCCGGTTAGCCTCAGAAAATCCATGCGGGCTAGAACGATGAGGCCGGCGGCGTGGGCAAGTGAGAGGTCTTGGCGCGTGCTTGATCGTCCTTGGCTCTGCGCGTTGGCCCATCATTGAATCCCGTTCCTGCGCTCGCCATGTAGAAACACGATAACGGGTCGTTGCGACCCTCTCTCAATCTACTTGTCGATAATCTCGTTTGACCCTTCCGTGTTGCGCTGTTATGCTTCATTTTAGCTACATGCATCTTTTCCCGCTATAGCGTCATCGACATTGCATCGAGAATACCCCGAACCGCGATAACGAGACGGTAGAACAATGCGCTTCATACCGACACGGCCCCAGTCACGATGAGACTTCCTTTAGAAATTTTGGTTCTGCTCACGCACTTCCTGTATCTCGGCACCTCTCTCCCTCTCGAACGCCGCAGCACACCCTTCCGCTCATTCCGCGGCCTCACGCCCCTGGTCAACTCCTTTTCCAACGGGCATACCTACGCGCACGCGCCGACTAAGTACTTTTACGAATCCACATTCAACAGCCACTACGATGGACGTTTCGCATCCTCCGAGGTGCCCTTTCAAGAACGTATATGGCATCTCAGGCTTATGCTGAAGGCGTACACCGACACGATGGAGAGAATTGGAGTACAAACTTGGATAATGCATGGCTGCTTGCTAGGATGGTGGTGGGGCAGAAGCCTGATGCCGTGGGATAAAGACTTGGATTTCCTCGTAGAAGAAGACGGCGCACGAGAATTGGGTACATGGTGGAACATGACAATTCATCAGTTCAACGCTCGAGAACTCGGGCTTGAACTTGCATCAGACAACGAGGAGGGTCAGGTCAAGCAGAAAGGAATCCTGCACGGCTTGGAGCATCAGAACGAAGATGCAGAGACGCGCTCGAAGCGCCTCGCTTGGGAAGAAGACATTAGGAAACAGGGCAAGAAATACCTCCTAGAGGTAAACCCAAACTACACCAACAAATCTACGTCAGACATATACAACCACATCGACATACGCTGGATCGACGTAAACAACGGGCTGTACATCGACATCACAACACTCCACGTCGCACCCGCCTCGGAACAGAATTCCATCGCCAACTCTCCTTACTCCAGCACCCACCCCTCAGCCCACGAATCCGATCCTGACGCCTTCGACGACGAAACATTACTATACGTCAAAGACACCCACGCCTACCTCGACACCCAAATCTTTCCCCTCCGCCAATCCACCCTCGAGGGCGTAAATGTAAGAGTCCCATATGCGTATGAGGAACTGCTGCTGGAGGAATATGGATCAGATGCCCTGACCGAGGATTGGTACAACGGATATCAATTCAACAAAAAGACAGGGCAGTGGAAGAAGAAAGGGCCGACGGAAGACCAGAAAGCCTATTTCAGGAGGAAAAGCGGAAAGGATTTGGGGAGATTGAGTAGTACGGGGAGAATTGGGCATGGGTGGAAGGGGCATGGTGCGCTTGAGGGAGCACTGAAAGAGGAGGGTGTACAATTGGATGTTGAGAGGGGGAGGTGGGTTGAGTAGGATAACAAATCTGTGTATAAAGATGATTAAGTACAATGTAAGACCCTCCATCTAATCAACCCTCATCGTCTAGCGTCCTTGTCTACAGCCTTGCCTTTACGCGCGGTTCCTCTTCAAAACCCACTTCCCCAAAGCGTATCTCCTCATCTTCTTCCATCTTGACTCTACGCTCCAGCTCATCAACCACCCCATCAATCCGCTTGAACGCCCAACTATGTTCAAACCGCGGATACAACATGGGTCTTTGATCAAACCTGTTATCAGGACTGTAACTTGCTGCGTGGACTGCCGGCGTTACAGCAGCCATCTTATGCCTGTTGTTGCCATAGAAAGTCCAGAACCGCTTCACCAAATCGCCGACTTCCCGCGCACTCTTCCTGCCAATCACACAGCAGACGATGGAACATGTCGAATGGCCCCAGTCGCTCTTCACTGCGCAGCTTGGCAAAGACGAAAAGCTCTTGATGGGTCATGCCGTTTTCCTTATCGTCGCATGAACCGAAGCTAGCGGGCTCGAGCTCAGCGCGGGGAATTGCGTCGAGGAACTCGTCTAAGATGGGTAGTGTGAAGGCGGTACGCGCCCAGCGGATGAAGGATCGGAGTTGGATCTTGGAGATGCTGCCGATGGGGCTGAGGTCTGCGGAGCTGCAATCGTGCTTTGTTAAGTTGCCCCTGAGGGATTCTTCTACGTTGACGGAGCTTAGGACGAGGAGGCCGCCTCCGCCGGGGTGGTTGCGGATGACGGGTAGTGTACGGGCGAGGTAGTATGCTGTGGTTGAGCGGATACGTGCCTGCAGGTTTTGGAGTGCTAGGTTCTCCGCTGAAGAGCCTCGGAAATCGGGGGTGAAGCCTGTGTACTGAGGGAGTAGATCTCGCTCGGCTCGGTATACGGTATCGATGGACATGCTGATGTGGTGGGCACCCATGCCTTCTGCGAGACGCTGAGCTCGTGAACGTGTCTCTTCGGATGAGCATTCTGACATGCTTATGTACACTGTATGCAAGATGCGGTTGCAAAGCTCTTGAGGGGTTTTGGGCAGCCAGTCGTTGGATCCTGTGATACGCTGGATGTCTGATGCGACCTCATTCCCGTCTTGAAGCGCGTCGAAAACCAGATAACACATACTTAACACCATTACTGATGTTGAGCACGAGTCAATACCGCCGCTCAGTGGCGCTAGAAAGCCGACGCATTCGCTGCGGCGGAGGTAATGCTACAAAGATTAAGATCCAAAGTCAGCGTATGTCTCACATCCAGTTCGTACGGCCACAACGTACCCAAGATAACAGGCTGGTCCCATGGCGATCTCTTCTTCCAATGTGTGAAAGCTTGGGCCCCGAGCAATAGGGTGGTGGTGATCTGGGCGGAGGCTGGCAAGCTCAGAACGATACAAACTACATGCCACGTCTACACGGGGCGTAGTGAGGTCATCCAGGGGCTCCGAGACTGCTTGTTTAGCTCGATACAATTGAACCTCTTCTAGATCGACGACGGCGGTTACCACCTCGACATCGTGGACCGAGAACCTTGGGCCTTGAGAAACTATTTCTCCGTTCACCAAGATCATCGGGCCACCGTCGTAGTAGCTTTGGTCGCCATCGCAGCCATGCTGATTCGAGTAGAGGATGACTCCACCAATGTCTTTGCTGATATTCTGCAGCGAAAAAACTAAAGAGTCGAAGTTACCGACCGTGAAGTGATTGGCTGCAGAGACCGTCAACACATCAGCGCTTGTCGAGCTCAAGGCTGTTGGAAGCAAGTCTTCGAGCCCAATCAACTCGTCGGATGTAATGGCGCCAACACACGCGCCTGAGGTGGAGAGCAGAGCGCTGCCGAAAGGAACCATGTTGGTGCCTTGCACGTCCGCAATGAAGTCTGGCAGGGGAAATGCTTCGGGTGGAATAGCAGGATCCCACGCGGTGAACCACCTCGACTCGTTATAATTGCCGTCAATCCTCAGAGTCGTTTTCGGGCGTATAGAGACAATTCTACCGTTATATGCCATCACTCTACTAAAGGGTTGTTAGTAGATTATCGGAGCAAGGAAGTAGTGTAATTACCAGATGTATCGGAAATTGTGATGCTTGATTGGCATACCAATGTCCACAAGCATGTTGTCACAACACTCATCCGTGAGGATACCAGTGAGTGCTTCCCAGCAATTGGCGTATAGTTCGTCCTCGTAGAAATGATCATGACAGCCATACCCACAAATCTAGTCTCGTTAGCGGGAACGATGGTAGAGCAGATGTTCTCAACGCCTAGTATGTAGGTAGCCTTGTGAAACACCAATTTCTGATGGATAGCAAAGTTTCAACGTGTGATGACTATAGAAGTGTCTCAGGCGTGGAAAGCGCCTTCAAAAAGAAATAAACAAAACCATAACTTACTTCCAGTTCTGGCCCAGCGCGCAATGTAGCACCCTTGGCTTTCGCTTTGCGGATGCTCTGCTTGATACGGGTAGAATTACCCTCCCAATCCAGAGCCCACTGAGCAAGCGAGCATGATGCAACGACGATCTGGCGACTCATGATGTGATTGCTTGAGGCGAGTCTCGCAACTGGGACTTCAATGGAGTCGGTCGGGGTGTTCTAGAAGTAGTTGAGAAGTCGCAGTGAGCGTGGAAGAAAAGCGAGACTTTGAAGTATGTACTGAACTCAAATACACGGGAGAAGGAATAAGGTGAATGTAGAATTGTGGATTTCGTTCCGGTGTCGCAACCGAGTCGTGACAATCGCGCAAGCGGCGAACAGAAACACGCCCACCATTATCATCTTGGTGAATAGCCATTGTTTATGAACAGAATTGAAAACCGAAGGGATAGTCCAGTTTGCATTAGTGAAGTGTGATGAACTGATGCCGATGCAAAGGGATTACCCTCCTGTCTCGTGCCTGCAGCGGTCGCCAGACCCGAGGGGGACCAGCGGGTAACACCCCATTTGACGGCAATCGAAGAATGGAGCGACGAGGTATTATTGGATTGTTGGTGGTCTGCAAGGTTACGGGGTGCTCGCGTAGGTTCAGTCGTAATTTCCAACCTAGGAAGGACTCGAGGTGTTAGAGACCATGCTTGTCTGAGTAATCCCTTCTCAACCCCCTTTTACAAATCGAGACGGACTGCATGAGAACGTTTGGCAGGGACTATCATATCTTGATGAAATCTGATCTGTAGGATTTGATCGCCGAAATCCTCCCCGTGAAGTTGGAGAGGTTGCCCTGTCTTATGCACAAGGTACAAATCCAGTCATGTTGGTCAGGCCGGCATGATGTGTCAGACGAGAGCCGGACTTCGACACAACTGGAGGATCTGAATGGGCTTTTGCTTTTTGCCGACGCGTCAACGGAAATGTTGAGTAATTGGGCATATGCATATCCATTGCTGTTGCGTTAGTGAGCGGTCGTTGGCCCAGGAGGATTTGCCCGGACCCATTGAGTCGATACGTTGCATCATCTTGGTGGCTGAGTTCATCTTCGCCGTTACAACTCGTATCATACCTAGGTAATGAAGGAAAGTGTGTCCTTCACTTAATTTGACCAGGTTTGAACAAAGACGCATGACGTAATGAAGGACGGGCGGTTGGATGTTTTCACGGCCAGGTCATCGTCGGGACCTGCGGGCGGACTAGAGTGAAAGATAACTTGGCGTCATAGGTACGGAGTTTGTCCGCTGGTGCTCAGGACGAACTGCGCGATGTGGAAAGACGAAGCTGGGAGGTCTGGGCATGGTGTTTAGTGGAGTTAAGAGCTCGAAATGCGCTAGCTCGGAGCCGGGTCGGAGAACTTAGCATCTCCGATCACCGTCTTCACGACACCAGCATCAACAACACTCGCGTCGGATGCCTTACATCCAGGACATTGTGAACGTGCGGTACTATTGGCTCGATACACCGGCTCAGTCGTACTACAAAACGGGCCTTTGCCGTATTGAAGATTCGCAATGTCGAAAAACTTCAGATGGTTTTAAAGCGTAAAGTCCGATGACTACACCCGGAATCTCTACGATGGCCGCATATGCGTGGCTTGGTTCAAGACGCGGCCCGACTAAGACGACTGATAGATCAGAGTAGCAAAGAGGTATATAAGGTAGGTGATCGTCAACTTTTGTACTTACCAACATACTATCACTGTCAAGACATCATTCACATCCTCACCAAACACCAAACCCCCAAGATGTCCAAGTCTAGAATCGCCGTCTTCGGTGCCACAGGCAACCAAGGCAACTCTGTCGCCCGCACCATCCTCACCGACCCCTCCCTCTCAGCCATGTACAACGTTCGCGCTCTCTCGCGCTCTACCACCTCCCCCAAGATGCAAGAGCTACAGTCTCTCGGTGCGGAGCTATCTGCAGCCGACATGGACGACCCCACGACGCTCCCATCCGCCCTAGCAGGCTGCACGCACGTCTTTCTGATAACAACAACGCAATACACCGGCTTCACGCGCGAAGTCGAAACACGTCAAGCACGCGCCGTATGCAGCGAAGCCATCAAACAGGGCGTCAAATACATCATCTTCAGCTCCATGTCGCACCCGTTCAAGATCAGCAACGGGAAGTTGAAGAACGTAGAGCATTTTGACGACAAAGCTGAGATCGAAGAGTATATCCGCGGTTTACCTGTGCAAAGCGCGTTCTTTGCTCCGGCATCGTTTATGCAAAATTTCGAGGGCATGATGAAGCCCCGTCCTTCTCCTGCGAATGATGGTACGTTCGTACTGGGGGATATCTTGCCGGGCGATACTCCTGTACCGTACATCGACATCACCGAGACGGGAAAATGGGTTGGGGCTATCCTTGCTGAACCAGACAAGTACGCAGGCAAATTCTTTGCTGCAGCAGAGGCGTTCTATACGCCAGATGAGGTCGCCGAGATCATGAGCAAGGTGACGGGGAAGACAGTCAAGCATGTTCAGCTTCCAGATGAGGTAGTCAAGGGATTTTTCCCGGAGGGGTTCCGGGAGCAGTTGTATGAGATGTTCGTGTTGAACAGGGAGTATGGGTATTATGGCAAGGGGCAGAAGGTGGCGGTTCAGTGGGCGAAGGAGCAGGTCAAGGGGGAGTTGACGGGAGTGGAGGCGTTTTTGAGAAAGAACGGCTTGAAGTTGGAGTGATGATACATGATACATGGCGCGGCAGGCTGTACTGTAAGGGCGGTATTGGGGGCTGAGAACAATGGATTCATGCTTGAGTAAATCGTTTGCGCCCAGTATAGCATGTCTTGTAGTGTTACACGCTTTTGTACTTCTACCTGTATAGTGATTTTACATACGATACAATACAATGACCCAGAAGTCTACATTACACCCCAAAGTTGCAAATGTATATTTTTTACGCGTATGTAGACTGCAGCGCACCTCAGTATCCATTGTAACCACCCTGCATGTTGGGATCGGCAGGGTAACCCCACATTGCCATTGAGTCCGGGATGAACAGTGCTGACAGATCTGCGTCCGAGCCTGTGCCTAGATCGAATTGGGTGAAATCGAAGTTGATATCGAATGGTTGTTGTGCGCCAAGACCCATCATATCTGGAGTAGGCTGTGCGTTCATGTTAGGATACCAGTTTGGCATGGCTTGCTGAGAATGCTGCGCGTGGGCCTGTAAAGCGGCCTGAGCTTGTTGCTGAGAACGAGATTGCGCCTGTGCCTGCGCTTGCGTCTGCTGCTGCTGCTGTTGCTGAGAAGCGACATTGTTGCTGCTACCCATTGCGACTTCCGAGAGAAGGTGAAGCGGGGTTTGGTTTGCAGGTGATTGGCGCGTGGAGGGTCGGGAAGTTTGACTGTTGTTTCGGGTGGAGTCGTATTCGGGATCCGTTTGTTGCTCGCCAGCAGCACCCTCTTTGATGTGAGCGAACCGCTCTTGAAGGCGCTTTGCAACGAAGTAGAACTTTCCATGGGGCGATTGAGCATCGCGGGAGACAATGGCATTGAACATGGAGACTAGTTGTTCGGTATAGGCCTCGATCTTAAGATCTTCCTGGCAGATGATACTACCCACTTCGCCGGAGCTAGTGACTGATACCCACATCTTCATTAGGCAAACGATAGCGTAAATGGCTCGTACACCTGGATTGTATTAGCGCGTATATTACGTTGAGATCAGGGCATATTACAGAAAATGACAGGCAGAGTCAGCAGGATGTCAAGTTCGATACTTAGGATCGTGTCTAGGATACCGTGGGTAGCAGTGAGACAATCACCCAGAGCACCTATGTGTGCTGGGCCAGCAGGTACATCTTTTTTGACTCCAGATGGTAGAGAGGGCGACAACGTATCCGACACAAAAGGGGGTTGTAGATCGGCCGAGCCCTGATTTTGGTGCAGTGCAATTTCATGCAGGTATAGGTTTGTGACGTGTTCGGCCAAGCGAAGGGTTGCTGCGACCGTCAGTAGATGCAATGAATCATGACCGCTACAACCTACGATCAATTTCACCCAGAGAGGAATTCTCCTCCCTGAGTGAGCTGAGCTCGTTCTCAAAAATCTTTAGGGCGTAGATGACTTTTGGATCGGAAATGGTGACCTCGACTGAAGGGTCATCCATGCAGAACTCCACTGAGATCTTTTCTCCAATGTGCGCCATCTTGACCTGCTGGCAAAGCAGTCTGTCTGAAGGCAATGCCTCTGGCGAGGTCTCCAGTATGCGAACACTCTCCGCCATGTAATTAGTCCAGCGGAGCAGAATTGGTCGTCGCAGGACCATTGTGATACTCATGCAGAGATAGTAACACACAAGGAAAGTCCGACGGGCTTCGACACTGCTAGAGTTGGGATGGTACCTCTTGAACGGACCAACCGAGAGTCTCATGACATTTGGAGTTGCCTTCCTTCCGAGACCTAGGTCAAGAGCCATTACGGCAGCGCAATTGACCATCATGTAGAAGTTGTGCTGTTCAAAATGAAGAGGCGGCCGATACCAAAGTACAGATATGTGTAATGCCTGAACGATTTCGAGCGACTTTTCTCCGTTGCGCCAGATGATGTCGGCAAGCTGATCTTTGAGGAGCTTGGTCAACTCGCGTTGCGCCTCTTGCGAGACCAGTTGTTCTGCACTCCCATGTGAAGATCCAGCCAGGACAGCGAGGAACAGAAGCGGTTTTTTCTCTCGGACTTCACGCGCTGTCGTACCAGGAGGGAAAGGTACGGCAGGGAAATGTGGACAAATCTCGTTCACGTAACGAAGGAAAACCCGCTCCGCGATATCCGGTGTCATGAGGTTGTCGATCAAAGCACTGATGTGTGAATGGTCGGCGTGGATCTTATTCTTGCTTGTTCGTCGCATTTCTGGGTGCTCTGCTAGATCGCGATGAATAGCATCCATATCCTCGGGAATCGTCTGAAATGTTAGTTTTGACTTCACATACCATTGATTCGACTCACAGCGTGCGCATTGTCCATCTTCCTACGCTTTGGCTCAGGCCCTCTCTGCAAGCTCTGTGCCGGACCATAGCCGGCTGGTATGTCTGGGTATCTGGCCGTCGGCGGCTGCGCCCAGTCGTGTTCGACCGTTCCCATGCGATATTGCCCCTCAACCGGCATGGGCATCGCGTTGGCGCTGGCACCGGGTTGTGGTATGCCTCCATGGTGCCTCATTTCCGGTACTCCCGGTACTCCCGACTTCTGCGCGTGTAGTGTAGCTGTCAATGCATCGATCTTGCGTTCGAGCTCAGCGACTCTACTGTCGGCTTTCTTCTGGCGCTTCCGTGTCGGCGGTGTTGTGATGCAAGGCCGGCCTGCTTTTGCGCATCGTCTGCATGATACATCAGGTCGCTCTTGGTCGCAGCGGACCTTCAGTCCTCGACATGAGTCGCATGCTCGCGGGCGCTTGAGGTCGGCGGGAGATTTGCCAGAACCAGGTGTGTCGTGTTCATGCGCGTCGTCGTGGTCGTCGTGGTCGTCGTCATCGTGCTCTGTTCCTGGTGCGGTCGGCGATGTCTGCTCAAGGGCGGGATCGAGTATGTTCCCTAGTGGGGCGGGCTGCGACAGCTGGGGATGGTGTTGAGTGGTCGGAGATGGCAGGTAGTATGGGTGGCCGGTGTTCTGCTGCTGCTGCGGTGCAGACGCGTACTGAGGCCGTGAAGATGGCGCCGAAGACGCGCTCGCAAAAAGTCTAGGATCGAGCAACGGATCGGACATCGCGAATCGTCAATCTCGAGGCTTAAGTTCAATGACTGTCGGCGTCGGTAGTATAGTGACCGAACTTCCGCCTGTGGGTAAAGTTGACAGAAACCTCGGCGTTCAGGTGTCAGTGCGTACGCCAAGCCAAACTTGGCCTCTAGCTATTCACTTTTGTTTCTGTCATCACCTCACATATCAGAGCTATGTAGGTTCGCTGCGGCTTACGTTATCGTAAAGACAAGAGTTTGCAACAGTCGAATGTAATGTAGACTCCTGAGCAAGTATTTTCAGCAACTTTGAAGAAAGCAGGGATTAGATTCTCCTCTCGAATGAGGGGTTATTGGGAATTATAGCAGTACTTGAGTCGAGGCTCTAGCATGAGTCTTCTGTCATATCACATGTGATCGCATACAATACAAGGTTCGTCAATGTTGTAATGTGTTCATTAAAGAGATAGACTTCATAAGATCATCAATAACATAAAACCATCCCGTTGCGCTCATCCTGAACTGACAGGTGGGATAATAGCAACCTCATCACCTTCCACGATCTGCTTGTTCGCGTCCTCGGCATCATCTTCGCCAACGTCAACGTACTCCATGTTGATCGTCATCGCGCAGCTGCTCAGCACCTTGTCACGAATATCCGGATACCGCTCCTCCAGCATAGCAAAGACATCGCGAGCTCGGACGGGTGCAGGAAGATGTTCGCTCGTCTTGCCAGTGAAGGTGGACGCTGCTGCGAAGTACAGGATCGAGAAGTGGCCCGCAGGCGCTTTGGCGGGTGCCATGATGCCTGTCGAGACTTGTTAGAATTGTGTCGCGACATGGCCAAGTGCTAAGTGGGAACATTGAAAATTCAATCAGGAAAAAATTTGCTCCGCAGTCTGACGCCGAAGCGACGGTCGGATAATACATGCTATAATTTTGAATACATCATGAAAGGGGGTTGAGTGGAAGGAGACGATGTACATACCTTGGGCGTGAGATGTAGGAAAGATGGACGGAGGTGTGCGGAGGAACATGTGAGTTCGCGCGGCCATTAGCGTGTCTGCACAGACCACCACCCGAGCGCGCCTTGCCTCCGCCGCACTTTTTGTATTGACGACATCATCCACCATTCGCCTCAAAATGTATCCTCGTTTTCAGCAGGCAGCGGGCCATGTATGCCTGCGGTGTCAATGGCGCTTGCTAAGCCAGCGAAATGCATCTCGGCAAATACAACTTTCACGCGGGCTTTCTACTTTGAAAGTTTCGCAAACACCAAGGCGGGCGCTTCATGTCGCTGGCAGTGTAAGTGATTCGCTCAGTACGCCATTCACGAACTGACATATATCAGCGCTCGCAACTATCCGCACATACCGCCACTCCCACACCACCTCCGGAACCGTCTCTGCTTCCTCGCCCTGAGGGCGTTGCAATCCGCGAATACCTCGAGCAGTGGCAACAGCAGTTTGGTGGGCCGACCGAGGAAGTACTATCGGCGTTTGAGAATCATCCCGAACGTGAAGACATACAAAATGGCCTGTCGAAGCTGTCGTCCGCGTTCAAGGCCGACGAAGACGCCAGAGAGAATGAGTGGGATGCTGCTGAGGAAGACGAGGGCGAAGAAGTGATTACGATTGGGCTCTTCTTGAAGCCTGGCGACGTGGTGGAACTTTCACAACCGGGTCGTGAACCTGTGCTTGCTGTGTTCGTGCAGCAGCTGAACAATGACAGTCAGTTCTTCTCCGTCAACGGCAGATGGACGCATTCGACCATAAGTCGGGTTTCCTTTGCCATCCAAGGTTGCATCGACCCAGCACTTCTCCAGCCGCTCATTCCATTCCTACCCACGGATCCCGGCGCGGCTAATCCCAAGGGTGAGGTTCATGTCCCGCGAGACTTTGCTGCTCCTGTGATAGCGAGTCTTGAAAATATGACTGAAGAAGCCGAGAAGATCTACCGAAAGAATGCTCCAGTCTTGGACACAGCCTATGATATCCTGGCAGACAA